ATAATAATAATAATAATAATAATAATAATAATAATAATAATAATAATAATAATAATAATAATAATAATAATAATAAATGGTCCATGGTCGTAGCTTTTACAGAAAAAGCTGACTGACCAAAGGTGGTGCGTCAAAAAGGTAGGGAACAGTCACTTATGGAAGATATCCTTGTGGATTTTATGGATCGTGCCGAGCGATACTGAATAAACTGGCGCAGTGGAGGAGGGGTCAAACCATTTAAAATTTTACAAACAAGACACATATTCGAAAATAACTTAAAATTTTCAAAGCTCAGAAGATGATGCTTATCTAAAATCCTGCAATGGTGGTATTGCATTTTAATTTAAACTGTTTCCTAATTTATTACTTGGTTTATGTCTCTTTTCATAGTACTTTTTATTTTCGTAGTACTTTTATAGTTTTCTTTAACATGTTTTAGTTAGAATTTCTTAGATCTAGATTTCTATATTTATTCTTGTCTTGTTATTGTTATGTACCAGTCTCATTCACCACGCAAAATTCCTTGTGTGTGCAAGCTCACTTGGCAATATAAAAAAGCTTACGATTCTGATTCTGATTCTGATTCTGATTTTTTGCCCAGGATTTTCAAAGTTTGTTTGTATAGAAACTCCAGCGGTTTGATGACTGCCTGCCCAGCTTGTCCCCAACGTGTGATACAATATGTTATGTGGGACAGGATCATAGCGTGCATAAAGGTCGTTGCAGCACCCACAGATAGACAGCCTCTAATGTGCAGAAAGTTTACCCGATTGTATTTTATAGTTTTTACTAAGTTTTTGATGTGTGTCTTAAAATTTACATTTGAATCCAGCATTAGGCCGAGATATTTAAACTCACTTACAATTTCTATTTTGTCAGTCCAAATTAAAATATCAGCACTAACAGATTGCTTTATTTTGGAGAAAAACATACCTTTTGTTTTGGTAACGTTGAGGTTGAGACATAACTGATCAAGCCACCCTGTGATCCTTCCCAAAGCATTTGTTAGTGTCTCAGCTGCTAGCTCAGCAGTTTTTGCATGAGTATAAATGACCATGTCATCAGCATACATTTGCAGATCTACACCATGGCACACCTGTGGAAGGTCAGTGACGTAAAGACTGAATAACAGAGACCCTAACGCAGAATCTTGGGAAACACCCATGGAGCACATGACATTGTCTGACAGTGAACTGTTAACTTTGACACTGTGATCTGTCAGAAAGATATGAAGACATCCATTGTAGTGCTCCTGGAAAAAAAATGAATTTCGAGAGTTTTAATATAAGAACATTGTGATCAACTGTATCAAAGGCTTTTTTAAGGTCTAAAAAAACAGCACCAACCACCCCTCCTTTATCTAATTGAGATTTTATCTGCTCTATCAGATACAGTGTAGCTGTTTTAGTGGAGCAATTGGGCCATAAGCCAAACTGCATTGTGTGTAAGCCAAGGTTACTAGTGTAAAGGTAAGATGTCAGTTGCTGGGCTGTACCCTCCTTAGCAATCTTGGACAATACAGGCAGAATACTTATGGGCCTATAATGACAGCCTTAATGGCGGTTTCCAGACTTAAAAATTGAATTGATAATTGGTTTGTGCAAGTGATAGATTAATTAGGTGAGTAACATTTTGAGCTTTTTAAGGAGCCAGTTATTTTACTCACTCCTGTAACATGTGTGAGGGACAACTCAAAAGCTTCCCCTGTAATGTTCACAGGTCCAATATCCACTTTCCTATCTTTGAACTTCTTATCTAGTTCATCCACTGAAAAAAACAAAAAAAACTATTTAAAGTAGCAGCAACAGTCGCCTTGTCACCAGTTATTTTATCCTTGATTTTAAGCTGGACATCATTAAAAAAAAAACATGTTTCATTCCTCCTAAGATTAGTCGTGTTCCAACATGTAGTCTTACTATTACCTTT